GCGGATTTGGCCAAGCTGCAGTTCGAGGCACCGCGGGTGGATTTGGGCAACCGGCCGCAGGAGCAGCAGGGTTTGGTCAACCAACCAGCGGATTCGGTCAGCAGCCAGGCGGCTTTGGTCAGGCGGCTCAGGGAACTGCTGGCGCATTTGGTCAATCAGCTGCAACTGGCAGCTTTGGTCAGACGGCGGGTGGTGGCACATCGTTTGGCGCGCCTGCCGGCGGATTTGGTGGCTTTGGTCGGACTGCAGTGGCAAATACGACGACGTCAGCCTCAAACCTTTCCTCCAACGCTATGCCGTTCCTTAACCTACCTGACTTTGCAGAGAAGCCGTACGGGAATGTGTTGCTTTTTGCCCCTGATGAAGAGCCGAAGAAGCCCGTGGCGGCTGCTCCCTCAGCCGCAAGTGGTTCTACTGCTGCGATACTTCCTGCATCAATGTCGCGATATCAGCAGAAGATGAGAATTGGGGCCACAGCACCTGATGCAAGTGCCAGCCTTAAGCAACAGTCTGCCTCATTTTCAGTCAATGGTCTCTCACAGGTTGCCCTACGTGATCTGATCAGTGCCCCCAAGGTAAGTTTGGGGTTGCCGGATGCTGAGAGCGGCGTTGTCGCTCCGGCGACTTCCGAAGCCTTACTGGGTGCAACTGAGCTAACTAGCCCCGTGGATGCGTCCCATGTACCGGTTTGCTCAAACAGTGACTATATTCTGGATCCCCCTCTGGAGGTTCTAAAGGGCTTCACTGTGCAACAGTTGCAAACTGTACACGATTTCAGTGTTTACCGGCGAGATGGGAAATGTTCTGTACGCTTTCTTGAGCCTGTGAATCTTGTTCGCTGCGACGTTTCTGAAGTCGTCGCCCTTCGTTCCAATGGGGAGGTGGAGTTTTATCCGGGGGTTAGTGCGCCCCCTCCGCTCGGCCATGGGGTTCACGTAGCTGCGCGGGTGACAGTCAACGGGGTCGTTGCGACGACCGCAGAGGAGCTCCGTGAGCGCTGCCGCAGAGACGGCGTCGTGTTCGACTCCTACAACGTGGAAACGGGAAGGTGGGTGTACACCACCAACGTGGATGCCGATGCGGTGGCCGATGCAACCGTGGAGCCGGATGACGAGTTTGTGCCAGAAATTGACCGCGTTTCCGCCTGCGGGGACTCCTCGGACGGCGCAGTACACACACCAGCCCCGCTGGAAACGAGTGGTTGGTCGCGTCCGGCGACGCCTACGCCGGTTCCTCCGCATTTGAAGCCGGCGGTCCCTGCTTCCCTCGCCCAACTCCCCACGCGGGCAGCTCAGTCATCTACTTTGCCACGGCGGACGCGAGAAGTGACTGTGCGTGCGCCAGTAACCTTTCCCACTGTGTGCGAGAGGACTGAAGCATCCATGGATTTTCAACTACCGTATGAGCTTCCTGATACGACTGAGGTCCCACTCCGTGAACGAAAGGGTGCGCTAGTGATTAGGGGCCCTCGGACAGATAAGCAGGATCCAGTCTATGTTGTGCGAAAGGAGGAATCAAAGCTGTACGAGATGAACGGAAGCCTTGTTTCACAAAGCACCATGGGAAGCCTGGGCCGAAGCTTTCGGTGTGGCTGGTGCCTCTCAGGGAGTGTCGCGGTTCCCACCTTTGCCTGGCTTCGTGACGGAACCGAAGACCAGCGGATGCGGCAGGAGGTGCCTGGAGCAAAGGTTTCCATTGTGAACCCCTTTTTTGCTCACGCCACGAGTAAGCATTACTTGCAGAGCTGCGCCATCTCGCTACTTCGGACAGTCTGCCGATACCTTCACTTTGTTGAGGGGACATCGGACAAGGAAGACCGGTATCCGTTTCTTGCTGTAAATTTGTGCCGTCAAAGCAGTAGTGCCTCACTGTCAACGGAGAAGCTACGAGAGCTTGTTGTCGCCATTGACGCAGTGAGGGCTGAGCGGCTTTCCCCGGTGGAGGTGTCAACGGCGCTGCAGGCGAAAACCATCCTGGGTCTTCTTGACGCCCTGTATGGGCTTCCAGAGTCCGACAAGGCGGAGGACAACGCCCTCGCCGAGAAGCGCTACCTCACGCAGCTGCGGCGGAGGAACCTCAATGCTTGGCTCAGGGACGAGTTGGGCTTCATGGATACCTGGACGGAGAAGGCAGTGGAGATGAATTCCACGCAAAAGCTGCTTCTTAAGTTGCTTTGTCACAAATTGCGGGACGCGGCCCTCATTGCAAAGGAGGCGGGGAGCACGGACCTCTTCCGTGTGCTGGGGATATGCGGCGATGGAAATCAGTTTGGCAGTTACGTGACAACGGCTGATACAACGCAACTCAACGCGGAGCCTAGCGTCCGGGATCGCGTTGTCGCCCTGCTCTCTGGCGTCGTTGAGCCTTTTGTTTCTCATCCACGCTACGAGCGGTCGAAAAGCGGGGAGGTTGTCGCCATGATTCCATCGAACGCGACGTGGAAGCAGCTACTTGGCGTCTTTGCCTTTTATGGGTGTACACCAGACACTCCCGCGGAGGACATCATCGGCGCCTTCCTGGAACGTCTCCGGACACCCTCCGCTCGCCAAGAGAACGCGTACCCTCCATACGCGGAGTACGTTGCGCCTGAGATGCTGCACACGGCCCGCGGGCAGGATTTCATCGCCCGCGGAGACGAGTTGCAGGACGCCGCACTGAGTCTCTTGGAGGGCTTTACGTTGGGCACCGCCCCCGCCGCAAGTGCCTTGCACCCACACGCCTCCAGCTACTGCGCGACGGACTACCTGTCCCCGTTCCTCATCCTCCTCGCCGTCCGTGCGCTGAAGCTGCAGCGGCCCGATACGTACCGCGACGCCGAAACGAAGGCCCTCCTGGGTTTCACGGCGGCACTCGAGTTTCTTGAAGATGCATGGTTCTGGGCCCTGCTGCCGCTGCATATGATAGAGGACCTGAATTGCCGTTCGCTTGCGGTGAAGCATTTTCTTCGCCGAAACGCGTATCGACACAAAAACGGCAGTTACGGGGACAACGCCGACTTTAAGCGTCTGGTGGGGCTGTTTAAGGTACAAGAGTCGCTGCTGCAGCCGGAGGCGCCGCCGCAGGAGGTGGCCGTCGAGCAACCCGTGAATGCCCCCAGCATTCGCACCCTCACCTCCCTCTGCGATGCGCTTGAGCGGTTTGGCCGGGGCTTCAGCAAGGAATAGATTTGTTTGTAACTAGAACCAACCCCACGTAAGCCAAAGAGAAGAAGAAAGAAAAAAGAAAAAAAAAGGAGGGACGGAACAAGAAAAGTAATAGCGAGGAAAGAAAAGGAATGAAGGCGAGGGAGAGGAACGAGCTGCAATTCATCATCTAAGAGATAACTGTGGATGCACGCAGGTCAATGGCAGAGAAGCCCCGCGGCGGCGAAGCGGGGGGTCGCGATATTTTTAATTGGGCTTGGGGATTACTGCGTCGTCGCTGACGCAGATGACGATGACGACTACGCTGGCGCGAAGAAGAGGCGAAGTCCCTGTTTGTTTGTTTGTTTCGTGTGTTTTTTTCTCTCTGTCACTGTGTGTGTGTGTTCCCCCACCTCCTCTTTTGCTTTTTGTCCCCGCAACTGATCTGTTGATTGACGCGCGCTCCGGCTTTTCTGTTTCTCCGTTTTGTTTTTGCGTTTTGTTTCTCTCTTCCTCGTGGTGGGCGCTGTGAGGGGGACGAGGAAAGGAGTAAAGCACATTTAGAGGGACAGAGAAAAAAAAAAACGCCCGCACACGAACTGCGGCGGAACTCAGAAAGAGGAACGAGTATTGGGATCAGTGACGTGGTCCTCGTTGCCCGTTAGTTGCGCGGCAAGAAACCGTATAAACAAAAAAAGGAACAAAAAAACGACACCAACCATCCACCACAATCCCCACCTCACACACAAACACACACACACAAGTGTTACATAAAAGGGCGCTAGAGAAATGCGTTTTTTTCGCGTACCTTGCTTCTCGTTGCGGTATCAGGGCAGCGGACGAATCGAGGATGTTCACCTCTTCATGACGTGCCTGTACCAACTCTGGTATTACAGAGGGCCATGGAACTGCTGTTTGGCCTCCCTAGTAGACTTCCTCAATAGCCTTGTTCTATTCTCTGTGGTATTTTTCCTTGCCCTGATGTTTGATTGGTCTGCTGCGCTTAACTGTGATGAGGTGAGCTGCGGGAACGTGAAGTTGGTGCACGGCGTTCGATGGCCGACGATTTTTGGCGCCAATCACATGTTGCTGGCGTTAATATTGCTACTTTCCTCCGCCATTACGGCTTTCTACGAGTTTCTAAGGTTTGTGGAGACGTGTCGGCTGCAGAGCGAGCTCTACGGCATGCTGCGTGGCTTTGTTGACTGCGGCTACCTCACACCCGTGCATCGCCTGCTGCATAGGTGGCGAAGCATTCGTGCAGGTGCACAGGGGCACGAAGAAATTGGCCTCACGGGTGACTCCCACTTTGTGGGAGATCTGAGCTGGGGACGATTTTTGGATATCGTTTGTGAGCGGGTGCAAAACGATCGCGACTTTGGTATTCTGGCACACCAGGAGTTTGACAGTCTTCGCGCGGTTCAGGCGCTGATGGTGTACGACAACTATTTTATAGCGCTCCACGAGCACGGCGTCCTTGAGAAGGGCACATTAAAGTACGTGGATAACGATCTTCTCAAGATTATCATTTCTGGGATGTTTGACGAATTCAATACACTCAAGGATGGGAAGAACCAACTGGCACTGGTTCGGTGGCAGGTTCTCAAGTGTCTTGTCTGCTACGTTTTGCTGTACCCCTTTGTTGTGACGCTCTCACTGCTGCGCGTGCTCGTCAAAAACGCCGCCATCATGCGCTCGGATTGGGGGAATTACATGACAATGTACTGGAGCAACCACGCACAGTGGACCTTTCGCCTGTACAACGAGGTTCCACATTTTCTGTCCGCGCGACTGTCGGCGGGGAGAGAGATAGCGGCAGGCATGGTATTGCAGTTACAGCCGTATTCTAGTGCTGAACGCTTCATCCGTAGAACGGCCTCGACAATCGTCTTTGTCACGTTGTTACTCTCTTTCCTGAATGCGCCCCTCTTCATTTCAGGAAGTATTGGGGGAATCCCGTTTGTTTGGTGGCTTTCCATCGCACTTGTGGCCTTTACTGTCTGCATGGAGAGGTTTCCTGCGCAACGGGAGTACAATTACGTGGTGGACCTTGACAAGCTTATTGTGAAGCTACACTACAGGGAGGAGGAGTGGTTTTACTCAGGGGAACGCTTCTACAAGGCGTTGACACGGGATTTTCTGAAAAGCCGGTTTTCTGTGATTTTTGCGGATTTAGCGCACACCTTTTTTATGCCGATCATTCTCCTCGGTGTGTTGTTTGACGGAAGCATCGCGGAGCTCGTAAATGGGGTGTTTAACGAGTCTGTGACGGTGGACGGGCTGGGTTCGGTGTCAAGAGGGTCTGCCTTTGAGTTGCAGTGCGGCGGCGGCGGCGGCGACGACGCGCCTGCGGCCGGCCTCAATGAAAAGAGTGCCAAATCCATCGCAAGTTTTTCCGCTATTTACGCTGGTTGGTCGGAGAAACGGATGCGGACGACGGAGGAGGAGGAGTTAAAAATGACGGAGTCCGGCGGCGCCTCCACCGCAACGCTGAACCGTTTGGTGAGAAACTTGCATGAGCAGGTCAATGCGCAGAGGCTCCCGGACCAACTACGGGACTCGGCTTGCTTTTCCTCTGCTTTTCGTGCGTACCCCACAAATGAGGGATTTCTTCAATCGACGTTGTGGGAGCAAAGCAACGCCCACGAGCGGGAGCAGATGTTCGTCTCGCAGGTTATGAGTACAATTCTTCCTGAGTTGTCCTGCCCGGGGCAACCATCATCCCGGTTTTCCTCGCACCGGATGAACAGAGAAGGTGTGTCAGGCGAATCCGCTCTGTTTCAAACGATGCGCACCGTAGGTGGACCGGCCTATCGGAGCTCGGACGTCTAGCGCTGTGGGCCTCACTAGTGGGACCTGTCTTGAGCAGTTTATTTCCGCTGCTGCTTTGTCTGTTTTTCTTTCTTCCTTTTTGTGCGTGCCGCGTTGTGCCCCAACTGGCTGTCGACGCGTATCTGCGTTTTGAGTTATGGATAAATGTGTAGTTGTTGCCCACACGAGTGATATGCATGGGGGGATCAATGTTCACCCCTCGTTTTGTGTGTGTATGTGTGTCCGTGTGCGTTCTGGTTTTTTTTTTTTTTGTCAGCTGCGGTTTGTTTCTCCGTACGACAATTATTTGCAGAATTTGCTTTTTTTTATTTCTGTTTCGTTGTTATGTGTGTGAGTCTTTTTTTTTTTTTCTCGTCCGGCGTTGCACGGAGCCTCGGCATTCCGGGCTTCGAGTCTGCAGGAATGTGGAAGTGGCGCGGCGCTGCGCTCTCCGCGGTGCGCGCATGGCGGCTTCTTGTCGTTGTTGTTGTTGTTGTTCTCGTGCTACTTATTTACTTTTTTGCTTCTTTGTTCCATCGCTGTTATTCCTCTTTTTTTTTGTGTGTTGCGTTCGAAGTGTTTTCCTGCGTCCCGCCCCCCCCCTTCCCCCGTTTGCCTCGGGGGCGCCGATGCAGCCGTTGGAGGCGCAGCTCGACGCTCTCTGGGAGGAGAGCCGGCTGAAGCGGCGGGCGAAGGTGGATGAGCTCAACACGTCGCTCGTGCAGCGCGTGCGCGACGACGTCGAGGCGACGCTGCGGAATGTGCAGTCGTCCCTCGCGAGTGCGCAGCCGGAGATGGAGAGGCAAATTGACCGGCTGCTTCACATGATAGACGAGTTGGCCGCGGGGGTTGACATGTGGCAGCAAAAGGCCATGAGCTCCATGGACTCCATTGCGAAGGAGCAACGGGCGCTTGGGGGCATGGTGCAGGAGGTCTCTATTCGAACCGCGGCGCGAAAGGAGGACATGTTGAAGCGGCAGAAGCAACGCTCAGAGGAAGTGCGTGAGATATGCCTGGAGCGCTTTAAGGAGGTGGCGTTGAAGCTGTGACCATCGCACCACATTGCCGCCTACTTGCAAGCGCACATCAACCATAGAAGACGTACAGGGGAGGTGGCCAAAAGAAATATGCGTATTCTCGGCGTATATGTGCGCCTCTTTTATTTTATTTATTATTATTTTTTTTTCCCCCGCCTCACCCATCCACTTTTACGTCTATGCATGTGTAACTGCGTGTAGTTATGCCCCTCTGCTGGGGACTGCTTGCGCACCTCTCAGCATTTTGCGGCTGGCTTTATTATTATTATTATTTCTCTCTTCAGCTCTCTCTCTCTCTCTCTCTCCCTCTCTCTCTCTCTACGATTTCTTTTTCGTGCTCCTTCGCGGTGCTTGCGTGGACAACAGTGGAGCGGACCACAGCTAGCAATGTCAGGGATGCATCGCCTTCTCACTGCATCGAGCAGTATTTACAGTTCCCGGGCGTACCGTACATTTACGGGTGCCGGATTTCTCCCACAGCCGTGTCTGCGGGCAGTGGGCCTGCGGCAGGGTGCGTGGCCCGGTTTAGCGTCACAAGCCCGCATAAACTTTGGCGTCTCTCCTGCCTTTGCGAGCGCCATGACTCACACGCGACGGTGGCAGAGTGGCACGGGGGCAACAGACTACTACACGCTTCTTGGGGTGAAGCCGGACGCCTCGGCGGACGAAATCAAGGCGGCGTACAAGAGACTTGCCTTGCAGTACCACCCCGACCGCAACAGTGACCCAGGGGCGGAGGAGATGTTTAAGAGCATTTCGGAGGCGTACCACGTGGTTGGAAACAAACAGCGTCGAAGGGAGTACGACTTGAGTCGTCCCGTCGGCTCCGCCTTTTCAGGCAGAGGCTCGGGGGGCGGGTTCTCGCCCGGGTATTCGCAACAAGGCCCCGCAGCGGGCTACCAACACATGTCGAAGGAAGAGGCGGACCGTCTCTTTCGTGACTTGTTTGGCGGGATGCGGGTGGATCAGATATTTCGCGACCTCGAGGAGGAGATGCGGCGCGGCGGCGTGGGCGGTCGCCAGAGCCGCACATCCTCGGAGTTCAGTGAAAAGGAGCAGGCGTTTCGGCCGTTTTTCCGCGGCGGGTCGACCCGCGTCTACGTCGACGCCCACGGCAATCGCATGGAGGAGCGGGAATTTTACGACCCCCGTGGAACATCGTTCAAGATCCGCACGGTAAGTAGTGAGCAGCCGAACGCCAGCACCAACCAACGGGCGGAGGAGTACTACAATGCCAAGGCGGGGAGCAGCCGGGACGGCAGATTTCACTACGGCAACTCCTCCTTCAACGTGAACCCGCCTGGTGCCACAAACGACTTTGGTCAGGCCCTTTTTGGAGTGCGGACGCACGGGAGGCACCCACTCGTAGCTATGATGATCATTGCTGCGTGGGGAGTTGTCCTTGGCACCCTAATTTTGGGCGTTTTTACCTTCCTCCTCTCTCACCCCGTCTTCACGATGTGTGTGCTGTTTCTTGTGTTTCTTCGGCGACTCCGCTTCTTTTGATCAATGGACGGTGAATCTTATCGCCGCTTTTGTGGGCTCTCTGCGTGGCGGCTCCCGCGCGTGATTGCACCGGGAACGGCAATGTGCCCGTCACATTCCACGCCGCCTCCCCCTGCCCCTCGGTTTCTGTATTTACTGCGCGTGTGCTTCTTTTTTTCTTTTTGTGTGTGTGTGCGAGGCGCGTAACGCCTCCTTTCCGTTTCCCGCACGCGCGCGTTGCGTGGGCCCCGCTGCTGCTGCTGCTGCTGCTGCTGTGGTGTGGGTGGTGGGTGGTGGTTGTACGCATCGAGAAATGCGGCCCCTTGTTGTTGTTGTTGTTGTTGTTGTTGTTGTTGTTGTCGTCGTCTTCATCGTAGTCGCTGTTTGCTGGTTTTCCCGCTCTTGCCCCCCCCCCCCACCACCACTGCAGAAGAAAAACAGACAAACAAAAAAAGAGAAAAAATAAGAAGCGAGGAGAGGGAGCTGGAGGGAGAAGGAGAGATGAACCGCTTTCACGTACTCAGCTCACACGAGGGAAGCAACGGCCCGACGGTGGTGGTTGTGGGCTCCTGCTTCCTGGACTACGTCGCCTTCGTTGACCGCCTTCCGAAGATTGGGGAGACGTTCAAGTCGCGAAGCTTCCACAAGGCCTTTGGCGGCAAAGGCGCCAACCAGGCCGTGGCCGCCGGCAGACTTGGCGCGCGCGTGGCTATGGTGGGTGTCGTGGGCGCCGACGGCGACGGTGACGAATACATTGCGAACTTCAAGCGGAACGGGGTGGACACCACTAACGTGTACCGGAAGCAGGGCGAGGCGACAGGGCTGGCAATGATTTTTGTGGACGCCAATACATCAAACAATGAAATTGTGATTAACCCCAACGCGACCTATGCAATGACCGTCGACTTCCTACGTCGCCAATCGGACAACTATAATCGGTTCCTTCCCAAGAGTTGTCGCTTCCTCATCTGCCAGAATGAAATTCCTTTAGAAACGACTCTTGATGTACTGCGCGAGGCGCACAAGCGTGGCATCTACACCGTTTTCAACTCCGCCCCGGCCCCCTCGCCGGAGGAGGTGGAGATTGTTAAGCCTTTTATGCAGCACGTCTCACTCTTCTGCCCGAACGAGGTGGAGGCGGCCATGATCACGGGGCTGGAGGTAACCGATGGGGCTTCCGCCGCAAAGGCCGCCAGGGCCCTCCAGGCACTTGGCGTGCGGGACGTCGTCATCACCCTTGGCGCACAGGGTTATGTCATTTGCGAGGGGGGCTTGGAGCCGGTGCATGTGCCTGGCCGACGCGTCAAGGCGGTGGACACCACCGGCGCCGGCGATTCTTTTGTTGGCTCGATGGTGTACTACCTGTCGAAGGGCAAAACGCTTTCAGAGGCCTGTAAACGGGCGAATGTATGCGCCTCGCTCAGTGTCCAGCGGAGGGGCACGCAGATGTCGTACCCCACAATAAACGAACTTCCTGCCGAAGTTCGGGAGTAACGCGGCCTGTGAGAGGAGAAGGAGGGGGGAGAGGGGGAAAACAAAAACGACATGTAATGGCGAGAGAAGCCTCATGACGAACTTGCAAACAAAAGGCCTGCAAAACGATGAAGCAACTCTATGAATTGTGTCTGGGCACTCCCCCGCGCAGTACCATCATCCTGCGCGGGGAATGTGGCAACCGTGGCTCACGCGCTTCCCAATGCTCTCTGTGCCTGGAGGAGTCTGTCTGCTTTTGCAGGGGATGCGAGGTATTTTCTGGACTGCGCCACGCGCAGCAACAAGCACATGTACCCGGTTAGCAGGCCGTGAGGCCACTCAAAAAAAACGAAAGAAAAGGGCGACATTGGCGCTAATGACAAGAAGGAAAAGCAAACGCGCAAAAAAAGACAAAAACGAAACTAACACCTACACCACACGTTCCACATTGCCACAAGAAGAAGAGGTGCCTACTATAACACTAGAAAAGCGGCCGAATTCAAAAGAGGGGGAACCCGCAGGTTGCGCTTTGTGTTGTTCGTGGGAATTTGCGTTGTTTTTCTTTTCTTTTTTGCTGGACATATCTGGGATTGGGATGGGGAGGCGGGAGTCGGTGAGCTGTGAGTTCCGCAGCAGGATGGCCGCACTGGAGTGAGAAGACAAAATGCCTGTGGCTGTGGGAAGAAGTAGTAGCGGCTCTGAAAGCCAAGCATATATATATATACAACTGGTTTGGAAAAGGGGGAAAAAACGAACGGGACTGCGGGTTTTTTTGTAGGCGCGTATATTTATTTATTTGTAAATGCATCTGCCTCAAGGGGAGCGAGAGAGAAGAAGAGGTGCTGGGGCCTCTGCTATGCGGCCTGCTGTAAGGAATCGCTTGCTCGCCATCTCTTTTTCCGTGCAGGTGCGTGTGAGTCGTGAATTCTGCTGCGTCTTTGTCGTTGTTGTTGTTGCCTGCGCGGCTCCCACAAGCTGAGGGTAGAGATCGTTGCGGCGCCGCGTGGAGGCTGCGGCGGCGAAGAAAAGGGAGGGTCTGCCGGCACTTGCTTCCCGCACACACACACACACACACAAAGAAGGAAGGAAAACATAAAAGGCGGTGGCGTGGGAGGGAAACGACGGTCGGCGAAGACAAACACCGGCGTGCGCAGAACTCCCTCACCACCGCATCGGCGGAGGCGGCCAACTCACGCCCACCCACGCGCAGAGAGGCGGCGGCGCGCAGTAAGTAGCGCAAAGGGAGACGCACCACGGCGGTAGAGCGAAAACAAAAAAAGGAAGAGAGCGTCATGACAGAGGTGTACAAGGAGGAGACGCTGGTGTCAAGCTACCCAGCCTCGCCAAGGCCGCGGCGGCAACCCATGGCGTCGCTCTCAACCAACCAGCGCTCGTACTCGAGGATGAGCTCGAAGGGAATCTTTGGTGATGAGTCGCCGCTGCTGCTTTCGCCGCTTCCAAAGTACCCGAACCGCCGCCGGAGCATCACGTTTGCCGACGAGACCGAGGCAACAGTGCGGGAGGAGCGACCACATTACACAGTGTCTGAGGCCAGCAATACGCCAGGTGGAACTCCGTCGGAAAGTCCTTCTAGGCGACCCATTATAAAACCGGCGTCGAGAGCCTTGCCCGGCGCCGATGCTGCGACCTCCGCCGTTGACGCGAGCCAGCGCCATGACACCACGACGCATGCGCCGGTAGTATTCGCGAGGTCCCCGACACCAAAGCGAGGACGTTCCAACAGTCGACAGCGTCGGAACGCGCGTCGACAGCAGGCTGAGCTGCACCACGGTTTTTATGATGATAGCTTTGTAGAGGAGTACGTTCTCAAGGCGAAGCAGGAGATTGCGGGGGAGGAAGAAGAGAGGCGGGTGGAGGAAAAATTGAGGCAGCAGGAAAAGGAGCGCGCGGCGGCCGAGATGAGGGCGGCTCAGGCAACCGTCAAGATAAACGCGCTGCAGCAAGCCAAGGAGTACCTTCTTGCCACGGCGAATGCTCGGTGTGTGTCTCCGGCGTGCTCAAGCGTTGAGCCCCGGGAGAGCGGCACTGCCGCGCGGCCGCGCCATCACGCCTCGAAGCGGGAGCTCGATCTTATTCAGCAACTGGACGATGAGATAGAGGCTGCGGAGGAGATCGCACAGCGGCGGCGGCAGCGGCCACCTGCGCCTGTCAAGCATTCCATGCCGTTAGTGACGCAGCTGGACGAGGCGGAGGAGACGGGCTTGCATAAGCGTCTTCGGCAATCCACCTCGAAAAAGGGCGGTCGCTCCCAACCTGTGCAAGTAAATGGCCAGATCGACACTGACGAGGACGGCGATCCGGCGGAGGAGAAAAACCGCATGAATAAACTGAAGCGGGCCAAGCTAGAACGCATCGTCGCTCGTGTGATTGAGCAGCAGGCAAAGCGGCGTCATGGAAAACGCAGCGTGGTGGTCATTGACTGGGACGGCGCCGAGTCAGACGAGCTCCTCTCGGACGACGCTGAGGGGGAGCGAGGGAGGAGGGAAAGCGAGGACGCAGCGGCGTCGCAGACGCGCGTGGTGGCACGGAGCCGCAGGGAGACGGTGTCGAAAAGGCCCAGCGAAGCCGCTCCTACTTTGGCGACTGCACCCTCTGCCGCATCTACGGCATTGGGGCAGCAGAAACCAGCTTCGGCTGTCCTCCATGTATCGGTGCGTGCGCCTTCAACGCGAAAAAGAAATGCCACCAGCGCGAGCCTTGCGCCAGAGTTGGGGGAGGACTCGCTTCTGCTGGAAGAGGACCAGCCGGTCCTGCTCCGCCGTCCCACGGCCAGGCGGCGCGTGCCGACTCGCTCCATCTCGTGCGTGTCTACTGAGGCGGGGGATGACGCTGTGTTTGAGCCAGCGGTGGATGTCTCGCGCAAACCACCGCGGCGGGCTCCCGCCCCGAAGGCGACGCGACGGGGCCGCAAGCCACCGGCTTCTGCGACGGTGCCGGCCCTGGCGCCCCATCTTCCGCCTTCCTCTGTTTCGCCTTCGCTGGCTGCGGTACACGGTTCCCGCAGCTTCGCATCCGCCCGACAGGGCTCGCCTGGGAACATCGAGCCGATGGCAGCTCCGCTGCCGCAGCCCGTCACTTCACGCCGTCGCGGCCGCACCGCGTCGGCAGCTGCGAGGCCACCGGCACCGGCGTTTCCATCCGATGACCCGATGGCTGTGTTCTTCGGCGCGAGCTTCCCCAGCCCCTCCAAGTTTGAGGAAATGGTGTTGGCTGCGGGTGGTATCCCGGACACGCGAAGGGTGGGGCGCGGGCAGCCCAGACAACCGGCACTTGTTCTGCCTGACTCCATTTCGCGCCGTCGTTGATGCAATTGGAAGGCGTTCGACCGTTGAAAAGAAAACAAAAGAAAAAAAACGGCCGCAGCAGCAAGTGGAGGGGAGGGGAGTGGGGGAGAAGACGATAAAAAATAATAAAAAAAATATGCAACTTCCGAGGCGTGTCTGCAGCAAACCCGCACGCGTGCGCCTGTGGCGGCTTCTTGCATTTCTGTTGCATCATTTTTGCGACGCTGCCGCAACTTCTCCCCTCTGGCTGCAGCACCGTTTTCCGGCGGTCACACGCACACCTATATATATATATATATATGCATGTACATATATATATCTATCTGTCTATCTATATAATATTAGAAGCACAAAACGGGAGCTAGATCGTTAGTACTTTTTTTTTTTTTACTTCTGGGGCGGGCTTTGGGTTTGTGAACTCCATCCTTCCCTCCCCCTCCGTTTTCCACTCATTTCTTTGTGTTTTACACCGTCGCACGCATCCCGGCGTGTGTGTGTGTGTGGGTAGGAGACGCGATCTGCCGCGTTTCCCCGTAGCCTTCTTTCTTGCCGCTGTTTTCTCAAACCCAGAGAGGCTTCTGCGAGCACTCCGCCCCCCGACTCCTCCTGCCGCTCGCACGTGTCGGGGCAACGACCCGCCCCAGGTAGACTGACACCGCACGCGATAAAAATACGAAATACCCCCTGCAAAGACGAGAAGAAGAAGTTTGCGAGACACTGGGCGACGACAAGTTGAATGGTGAGGCATATCAACATGGCAAAAAGAAAAAAAGAAGGGGTAAAAAAATAAATAAATAAACATGCATACACACGCAACAACAACAAACGAGAGGAAAAGATGTCTCAACACTTTGGACTCCATTGGGGGAAGCTGTTTACGCGATGAGCGGAGAGGGCGTGGTGCGAGAAGCAACCTGTGAAGGTGCTGCTGGTGGCATCTGGGAGGCAGGAGGAAGGAACTTGTGCGTGTATGATTATATATATATATATATACATAGCTTTGGTATTGCACCTAGATGATAGAAGAATTTGCTCGCATGCATTATTTGTTTTCCCTTTACTATCAGTGAAATGATAATTGCATGGGGGAAGCTTTGTACAGAAGGCGTCTTCATGACTTTTTAGTCTTTTTTTTGCTGTTGTTATTTGTTGAATCTGTTTTTTTTTTGCGGGTTGTCTTTCGTGGAATAAATGATGTTCTGTGCAGGACCTCGTTTTTTTCCCCCCTCGCTTTTGTCTAAAGCAGTGGAAAGGTAAAAAGGCGAGCCGCGATGTCGGCGCCGCAGCCGTTGACACTGCTGGTGCCAACGCAGCTGCAGTCTCTTGTTCTGGACGGTGGGACTGAGATTGTGGTGGAGACGCGGCCAGGCGAGCAGAGGCGTTTTTTCCTGCGCGTCTTTGACGAGGCAGAGCGGAAGGAGGTGGTGCGTGCGCACGCGGCCTGCAGCAAGATACATGAACGGATGCTGGCGGACCTGAACTGGGCACGGGCAACACTATGGAACGATGCGCGTCTCCAGCAGTACCTCTACAGTCAGGATTGGATGACGTGGCCCTCGCTCCCAGAGCTGTCGAGCATGGTGGATCTCGTGCGCTCGGCGAAGGAAACAGACGAGGTCCCTGACTTTGCGGGTGCAAATGCACTGAAAAAGGCTTTGGACATCGTTGCGATGGAGTTGACCTATCCTGGCCTCCACACCCTAAAGGAAGAGCCTCTTGCAGGGCCGATGGTGGCGTTTGCCACGACGAGGGCCGACGATTGTGTGGTGGGGGACAAGATGCATGCATTGCTGGGCGGTGACGTGGAACAGCGCCTTGGAAGTTCTGCGTGGGTGTTGGAGCTCAAAACCCCCTCCTTGACGCCTGATGAGGCTGCGCGTCTCCCGCTGACGACACGTGTGCGAGAAGAGTGTTTGCGGGTTATGCAGCCTGGCCTGGGCGCCGTTGCGGACTCCGGGGCGTCGTGGAGAGCCGTGTTGGAAGCCCACCGTCGTTGCAGAGAAGAACTTGGCCTGGGCCTTTTCTGCAGCATACCAGAAGCGTTGCTGCAGTTTGGTATGACGCCGATACACTTGGCGAAGGCCATGTGTGAGGCGGCGGAGCAGGGTCACCGCGTCCGTCTGCGGGTTGGCATTTACGTGACTGTTGTGCAACGAACGGGGGTGTATGCCGTGACGCGGGTTCCCTGTCAGGGCGTGGGCGCAAGCGATCCGTTGGAGCTTACGTCAGCCTTTGAGCAAATAACGGGGCAGCGCTACGACGTCTGCGAGGCAACTGGTCTCTTGCTACACGTGGCGGAGGGAGAGACGCTGGAGGAGGCGCTTCGTTTGCGTTTTCTGAGCCCGCTTGCGACCCCGCACGAGGTGGCGGGGAACACGCCACTCACCCCCGCGATGCAGCTGACGCGCGTTGTGGTGCGGCACAACCCCTTTGCTCTGCTGCACGGCCCGCGGGTGGTGGGCACGTTTCCGGAGAACGCCGCCGTGCGCGGGGCGTTGTCGGAGCTGCTCTTTTCGCGTGAGGGTTCTGCGCCGGCTGCCGCGCCTGCACCCGTCGAGCGGGGCACGGCGGCGACGGCAACGCTGGCCTCCTCCACACTCACCGGGGAGCAGCTCCGCCGCGCTTTGGATGAGGCGGTGTTTAACACGCTGTCTCTGGAGCCCATGAAGAAGACGGCGCTGAGTGCGCACGGCAACATGGCGAGGTTCCGGGGTCTGGCAAATTTCGAGGCTCTCCTGAAGGACTCACTAAGGCGGAATGCCGAGTACCGGGGGAGCAAATACCACTTGCGGGGGTGACGATCAACAGAGCCGTGTTTGTGCGTTGTTGTTTCTTGTTGTCGCCTGCGCGCCTTTTCTGCCCCCGCGGTTGCGCCATGCCGCCAGTCCTTCTCCACTTCACACTTTTCTTAGACGGCTGCGTCGTTTGACGAGCTTCGCAGCGCCCACCGGGTTGTGTTATCTTCCTGCGCTGGATTCGGGCTTATTGCATGCTGCTTTTTTCTTCTTTCTTTTTTTTTCTTTTTTCCTCGCCTTTTAATTTCCGCTCCCGCACGCGGTTCTTGGCACGCTGGGCCGGCGAACAGCAACGAGAGCTCGAGCGCGCAGAGCCCGGTGGGGAAGCCCCTGCGCAGCGCGGCGACGGGAAACAGAGAGCGAGGCGGGATGGGGAAGGGCGCGCGGTCGAAGCGCAGCGTGCGCGGCCCGGCGAAGCGGCAGCACGCCCCGAAGCACCGGGCCGCGGAGGTGGACCCCGCCCTCGTCGAGTTGTACCGCAGCACCCGACAGCCGGTGAAGAAGAGCCAACTCTTTGAGCAGCTGCGGGAGCAAACGAAGGACGCCAAGCGGGTCCGCCGCGAGGCGCGGGAGAAGGAGCGGAGGCAGTTGAAGGAGAACGCCCCGGCGAAGGCGATCCCAAAGACGAAGGAGCGCCTGCGTCGCCCGGACGCCACAATAGTTGCGGACACGAACGACGCCGAGATCGTGCGTGACGAGGCCGATGACGAGTTTGCCGCCTTCTACCGGGAGGGTCGAAAGCCGGTCATCCTTATCACGACCGGCGAGCGCCCCTGCTTCCGCAGCAAGCAGTTTGTGAAGGAGGCGCTGTGGCTGTTTCCAAACTCCACCTACCGCCCCCGCAAGGACTACACCCTGAAGGAAATTACGCAGTTTTGCATCAACCGGGGGTTCACCGACCTCGTCGTCGTCACGGACCGGCTGAAGGAGCCGCACAACCTCATCATCTCACACCTGCCGGAGGGGCCCACGGCGACGTTCCGCGTGTCAAACTTCATGACGCACGCGCAGCTGAAGGACCCCGCCCCGCGCACGGAGCACTACCCCGAGCTCATCTTTAAGAACTTTGATACCCGCCTCGGGCGCCGCATCCACCGCATGTTAGAGTGCCTCTTCCCCGCAACACGGGACTACGCTGGCCGCGCGGTGGCGACGTTTCACAACCAACGCGATTACATTTTTATGCGCACGCACCGTTACATATTTGATAGTCTAGAGGCTGTACGCATCCAGGAGATGGGACCCCGGTTTACGCTGCGGCTGCTCTCCCTGCAGTCTGGCACCTTTGACACGCAGTTTGGGGAGTACGAGTGGTTCCGCAAGAAGGAACATGACGCAGACAAGCTCGAGTGGTACATCTGACGCGTGAGCGTGTTCTTCCCCCCTCCCCCTGTTTTGTTGTTGTTGTTTATTGGCGCGGAGCTTCAATCGTGTAACACTCTGGATGGGGCGGGAGCAGCGAGGACGCACGCACACGAGGCTCAGTATATATATATATATATATACGTTCTCCCGCCCCCTCACACACAGACACATGACAGAAAGAGCAGCACCTGCGTGGGGAGGGAGGGAGGAAGGGGGGCATTTCGACTAACCGTCTGTTGTACAAACAACAGCTATGAAAAGAAGAGAGTTTAAAAGAGGAAAAGTATCACTTGTCACTGTGACACCGAAATACATCTAAAGTCATGCTTAACTGTTGGTCACCGCTTTTCCTCTGCCTCTTTGTGTGTTCACAAGCACCTGCTAGGTTTTCCTCTCTCTCGGATTGTGTTGTGTTCTTCCTTTTCTTTCCTTTTATTTTCTGTCACGCGCTTTATTATTACTTACTACTATTATCATTTTCTTCCTTGTAGAGACGGGGCCTTGGCGCGTCGGGCGGGCTCTCGCCCTGTTTCTGTCTCTCTTCCTCTCGCCTTCATGACGTCACTGAATAAAGTGCGAGCCGTCGTGGAGCAGCTTGCCGTCATCAACCCGTACACAAACGCGAAGAGTCTGCCCGAAGTTCCTCGTCCTGAAGAATGCTCCATTCCGCGTCAACTGCCTTCGCTGCAGCAGCTGCCGTACGTGCAAAATGTTCTCAACACGCTCTCCTACAACTTCCTTCCACAGACCTTTTTTTGCCTGGAGAAGCGCCGATCGCTGGATAGTATACTGGTGACCTCCAAGGAAATACTCGCAGAGGCGCTTCCAATACGTTGTCTGGAGGCCACCTTTGTGGGTCTCTACCTCACACACGGAATGAAGGACGTGGACCGCATCCCGCTCTCCTTTAAGTCTCGCGCAAAAGGAAGAAAGTACCATCACATTGTGCTTGTCATTCGCTGTGACGGCTTCTACGGGGCGCTGGGCCTTAGTCGCAAATCGACGCTGATGCACAAGCCGGTGGTGTACCGTAGCCTCTTCGACCTTGTCATGGAGTACAAGCGCCAGTACGAGGCCATCGGTCACCAGCTTTTGGATTTTAAATTGGGCCTCTGTGTGAGCCATGAAATGCGCTCACGGAAGGCGCCGTGCTGGCGCTACATTGCGGTAAGCTTCACAAAATCAAGTGCACTGGCGCCGGTTGCGTCGCCGCGCTCGAGTAGCGAAACGCCGGCCGGCGAGAGCAGCCAAAAGGCATCGGAGGTAGTGGGCGGCGGCGACGACGACGACGACGACGAGCCGAGGCTGTTGGCGGAGGTTGCGCGGCTGCTGGGGCACTACGCGGAGCTGCTGGCCCCCATGTCGGCTCACTACGAAAAATGCGCCGTCCCTTTTCTCCGAGGGTCGCTGCCGGAGTCATCGCCCACCTATCTGAAGGACCTCCACGAAATGGAGGAGGCGGCGGCGCGCCAGGAGAACAGGCGCCGCTTAGAAGCCGTGCGTTGTGGGCGCTCGCCGTGTCCTTCCGTTGACTTGGACACGAAGAAGCGTGCCGCCTCCCGCTCCGTCTCAAAGAAGCGCATTGAACCCAACTTTACGGCCTCCACCGTCGCGCGTCCGGCCGCCAAAAAACGCACCACAGTACCAAAGAAGGGGACGACGAGAGGCTATAGTACTGCTGAAGGTTCACAGGAAGAGCGACGGCCCTCACCGCATGCGACGCAGAAACAGGAGCTGCAGCAGCTGCCACTAGTCATTGAGCACACACCATCTCTTCTTTCCTCAGACGCTACAAGTGGGAAACTCGATAATAGTGGGAGTAGTACACATCAGGGTGAAAGCAATAGTTGCACCCTCTTCAGAAGAACTGCACTTCCTTTTATTGAAACCAAAACTGGCGAATTCACTTCCTTTGGTGGTTCACACGGTGACGCTTGGGAGCTTTTGTTCCCTCCACGTCAGGAGTTGAAAGGGGTGGATTTTGACGAAATGTTGTAGGCCGTGGCGAACGGAATGGCTGCGTGACAGACGACTGAACAACTCGCTTGAAGACAGAACAAAACAACGATGGAAGGAATTCTCCATTGGGCGTTTTTTTCTTTTTCTTTTTCCTTGATGATGACGATGATGCTTAGCTGTGTTCCATGCATGTTAGTGGTTG